TGTCTGACCTCGTTCAATGTACAGAAGCTACCATCATGTGTCCTTATCTTGATCGAGCCTGTCCCAACCACCTTGCAGACAGAACTGTTGGCCATCGAGATGCTCCCTCCGTCTACCTGCTCATAGGTCGTGAACCACTCTCTCCTTGGACAGATATGATAGGATGCCCCAGAGTCTAGAACCCACACATCTGAGTGATGAGTGTTTTCATCAGCAACTAAGGCAATGTCTTCTTCAGAATTGGTATCTTCTTCAGCAACAGCAGCAGAAACTGGTTGTTTTTCGGATTGCTTCTTCTTCTTTGGACAATCAAACTTCCAGTGCCCCTTCTCCTTGCAGTAATTACAGACATCATCCGGCTTTGCACCCTTTGACGACGACTTCCTCTCCTTCTTCTTCCCACCGTTTTTCTTTCCCTTTCCGGCACTGGTGAATAGGCCGGAAGGTTGTACATCTGTACTCGTGCCGTTAGCCTTATGCCGCAATTCCCTGCTATGAAGGGCCGATCTAACTTCTTCCAGAGATACAGTATCTTTCCCAACAATGAACGATTGAACAAAATTTTCAAACGATATTGGGAGAGATACTAACAGAATCAGGGCAGCAGCTTCATCCTCTATCTTCACATCGATATTACGCAATTCTAATAACAAAGTATTTAATTGCTCTAAATGTTCCCTGAGTGGTGTACCTTCAGCCATTCGTAAACCGAATAGACGTTGTTTTAGAAGTAGCTTGTTGGTTAAAGATTTCGTCATGTACAGACTCTCCAACTTCAACCACAAGCCAGCAGCAGTCTCCTCGTCTGAGACCTCCGTGATAACGTCATCTGACAGACACAGCATGATTGTCGAGTGCGCCTTCTCTTCCAGAGCCGCCATCTCAGGAGTAGCGACGGCGTTTTTGTCTTTCGACAACGGCGCCTAGAAACCTTGTTGTTTCAACAAAGCTCGCATCTTGATCTGCCATAAACTGAAACTGTTCCTCCCTGTGAATTTGTCGATTTTCACGTTCAAAGCAGACATCTCGAAATTCTCCAAGAACACAGATTAACCAACCAGGCTCTGATACCAGTTTGTTGTGCAGAATTCGAGAATTAGAGAAAATATATAAACGAGAAAGCACGACAACAGATTTAACGTGGTTCACCAACGTTGTGTTGGCTAGTCCACGGGGAAGAGGGGGAGCAGTTTTATTTCTGATTGGAGAGGCAAGAACAGAGTACAACTACTAGGGTTTGTGGTAGCACCCATATAAATAGTGCTTGGCGAAACCCTAACAGAGTTAGGCCCAAAAATACAGAATTAACAGATAATTAAACAAGCCCAAATAGAATGGGGTTCGGACACCTCAGAATTCGGACCTCTCAGAATTCGGATTTCTTGACTTCTCCGGAAATCGGATTTCTCGACTTCTCCGGAATTCGGATTTCTCGACTTCTCCGGAATTCGGATTTCTCAGAAGTTGGACTTCTCCGGATGTTGTAACGAGTCAGATTCAAGGCATTACAACATCCTTTGCCCAATTCTCCATCACTTCTCTTGTTATCAATCTTGGATCATTTTGAATCCCCTCTCCTAAAAAAATAACACTTTTAATAAATGAGAAATTTACTTAAATAGCACTAAAATATGATGACTTTTCCTAAATAGCATCGCATATGTTTTTCTTCCTAATGTAGCACTTTTAGTCATTATGCATTAGTCATTATTCAAGTAAATATTTTTCATCACTGGACATTGTGGACATTATTAAGTGCTACTTAGAGGATAAAATTATTTAAGTACTATTTGGGAAAATGACTTAAATTTTAGTGCTATTTAATGCAAATATTTCTTAATTAATAAATTGATAGGGCCAATAGATTTCTTTGTCATTGATAGGAACCCAAAGGGATTGAGAGAGTATTAGTATTTTAATTACCTTTAGGTGGTGTTTTGCAAACAAAGAACCAATAGATTTCTTTGTCATTGATTGGACCAAGACCGGCCCGTCTGGACACATCAACAAACTGATGGGGAGCATGGGGCAGCCCATGGCCGTTTGGATAAATTGCGAGCCCACGGACTGCGGACCGGCCCGATTCGACTGGAGAAGCCAGCTTCAAGTTGCGTGCAACCACCGAGTGGATCCCATCACACCCTATCACCACCTAGAGAAATTGAAAAACAAAATCGATAAAATAGATGTTGGTTAGTTTTAAATTTGTGATTTCTATGTCAACAAAACTCTGAATCATGTCAAAAAATCATTCATTCAACAGAAAATCCAATCTTATGATTGAATGCCCCGAAATGCTTTTATACTCCAACAATTAAATCATTAGTCATTGCATTATGATAAAAAAATTAAATGAGAAGTTTTGGATAATGACGGATACCTTTGCCTTGATAATGGTTCCATCCTCGAGCCCGAGAACCGCAAAGTGGTGCCCATCCTCGACTTGAGATTCAATTATGCGTATTCTAGAAGAGAAGCGGATTGTATCTGAGTCTAGTTCACTAGCCAATGTTTGCAAAAGGGTCTTCCTATGAACCACTCTTGGTCCGGCTCTACATAAGGAAACCACAAACCATCATATCTGGTTAATTTAAACAAGTGCAATGGAATACACACAAAACCAATTGGAAATGGCAAGTTGGATGGAGAGAGAAACCTTTTCCCATTGGCATCATATCGCACTTCTTGAGTTACTTTGGTATTGACATCGATAATTAATGCACTGAAATGAAAAGAAAGAATGTCAGAATGATTTTTTTAAGAAAAATGTACACCATATAGAGCAATGATTTTAAATCTGGACGGGTCATTGAACCGACATGGAGGCTAGCTTTGGGCTTTTCGGGTCAAATCGAGCCAGTTTGGATATGTACTAATTTTTGAGGTTATGGACCCGAACGGTTATGTGTCTAGTTCGCAATTCGACAAGTCAAACCAACTAATCTGGTCCGAGTTTAATAACAATGATACATAGAAGAGTTGAAACATAGATATCACTATCTCCGTCGGAGTGTATATGTATCCTGTTTACTTTTCGAGCTTCACTTGCTCTCTATTTCTATTGCATATTGTTATAATTAAAGAAAATTTTGAAAGTTCTCAATAAGATAAATTTAATATAGTTAAATGTATGCTAAAATAATTTACCCTGGAACATGATTTTTATTTAATTGGAACTTAAAATTCATTTAGTTTGACTCAAAAATTCATAGAATTAACATCCAAATGATTACAGAGTATCAAATTAACCAATCATTTATCAAAATAATTAATCAAGAAAAAAGTCATAATTTCACCTTAATTAAGATTTCACGAAACTCAGTTGAAAAACTTCAAAATTGAATTTATATAATTTGAGTGGTCTTAGTGGTGATTAATTGCACATTAGAAGTTGATAAATGAAATTAAAAAACAAAACGATCGATCAGATTAGAGAAATGACCTTCCAACAGGGGCATAGAGAGCCTGGAGCTTATCGGCAACTCCGATGGCGTCGAGGGCACGCCACGCATTAGGGAAGAGTCCGATCGCCGATCCGGTGGCCCTCAGCTCCGCCGCCCTCTCCAGCACCACCGCCTTAACTCCCACCCTCTTTAGTGCCACGGCGGCGGCCAGGCCTCCGATGCCCGCCCCGACGATCACCACTTCCTCCTCCATCATCCCGCCGGTGGAATTCAACATACATTATACTAATACTCAGTTGATATATATGGTGGGAAAATGCTTACTTTATTATATCAATAAATTTTTTGTATTAGTTCAATTAATATGGTTGATCGGAGTTCTTGTTTGCGGGAATTCTAATTTAAAGAACCTAGCTTTGAATTGTGTGCCACAATATTAGATTCAAAAACGCGGTGGAAGTCAAAATTGATTTTGTGTACTTTATTTGATTTTTATGTGGTCAATATAGAGAAGAGCATAAAGACTAGGATCAAAAAGATTGATCGAAACTGACTAGGATTTGGACTTGAAAGATTGGGACTGAAGTAGTCCTTGAGACTAGTCTAGTCCAAGACCAGTAGTCTCAAATGTTCCTTAATATTTATAGAAGATTAGGACTAGTCTAAGGCTAGTAAAAGACATGTTAAAGACCTGAACCGGTCCGAGACTAGTAAAAGATTGGTCTAAAGACTAGGACTAGTCCAAAAAACTAGTCCTCTAGAGTCTAAATATATTTTACTTGTAAATTACGGAGTATATAAGGAGTAGTATATATGGAGTAGTACGTATAAAAATGTTAAAAAAATAATATAGAGTAATACAAATTAGAAATGATTAATACATCTCGGCTTCCCCTATCCCCTAAGTATTTTCTTAGAGTTTCAAGATAAACTCAAGCGTCACAACACTCTGTCCTAGAGCAGTAGAGCTAGTCCTCAGAGATGTCCTCAGAGAATCAGCGATTGAGCGAGCGAAGTGCAACATGCAATCTCGATCGATGCAAAAAGAGTTGATGGACTATTTGGTAACCCTGTCACAACATCGCAAAACTACAATCTTGACCCAATATGTTGGGACTAGAGACCGGACCGGATTGGACTACCGACCGGACTAGATTGGACTAGTGGTCTTATTTGGTCTTTGATTTTGATAAGAAGACCGGACTAGTTAGGACCGGGTTTTTAAAAAGACTAGTCTGGTCCAGTCTTTTACTGTAGCAGTCTTTTTCAAAGACCGGTCTAGTCTGACCGCATCGGTCCTTTTGCTCATCTCTAGGTCAATAGTCGCCGAATGATTGACCAAAAAGAGGTTTGTTTGGATGACCCTTTCTCCCCTAAACCTTCCATTTCAATCCAATCAGAACCCATTTCCACCACCTTTAAATGTCATAGATTTTTTTTTACCTTGAAGTTAAATTTTGACCCCCGAAACAATAAAATTTGTGAAGTTAAAAAGCCAACAATAAAACTACGGGAGTACAATATTGATGACAAAGAAGCTTGATAAATTTCCACAAAAATTACATTTCTTTGATAAAAAACAAAAAATATCATGGATTTAGTCTTTAAATTATTGTGACAAAATCTATAAGAAAGAAAATTAATTAGAATTTCTATTTTATTTTAAATAGACTATTTTAAATAAAAAGTTGTGATAAAACAAAAACATAACATTGAATAAGACTTAAAATTATAGTACAAGTAAAATATAATAAAAAATTATAAATGTAACATTATATTACAAAAATATATTTTAAAAAAATAATTTGACCGGTTGACCGGTCCAAATCCAAGCCGGTGGATGGAATTGGAACCCAAATAAGCGAAACTACAAGACCAAAGACCAGATCAGAGAGGGACCGGTCCCGATCATGTTCGATTTTGACCGGGTTACGAATTGTCCGAATAGTGTCTTTTTTTTATGTTAAAAAGACAATTCCACCCTCATTTTAGCTAAACATATTTTGTTTAAAGGTAAAATGGACACTTTTATCTTCTGAAATTTGTGTGTTAGAATTCTATTTTTTTATAATTTTAAAGTTAATCTTGTTCAAGTAGTAAATGGAGTAAATTTAACCAAAATAAAAGTGGCTAAGAGCTTCTCCAGTGCATAGGGTATAAAGTGGTAGTGTAAAACCAATTTTACACTATCAACGGTGTTATACACACCCAATTTTTAATAGCTATTCCAATTATATCATCTATATAATACACTTTTTTAATTTTTTATTATTATTCTAAGTTATTTATTCATAATACTTATTTTAATTCATAGTTTAATTATTAGAATGGAAAATGTCACTTACGAATAAAATTGCAATATGTAAAAGAAATAGAATTAACTCACAATAAATGAAGAAATGAATTAACAAAAGGACGAAATTGAGAAGAAGATAGGGAAATTAAAAAAAGAGAAAAAAAGGATAAGCAATACTGACCTTGTAGAAATAGGAGGTGGGAGTGGTATTTTGCACTATAGTGCATTTTACCATTGGTTATACACAATTCATTGGAAAGGAATAATATGAAGAGTAAATGACATAAAGTGTATATTTAAGCATATACACTATGCGCTGTGGTTGCTCTCAGCAATGCCCTTCATTCTAAGTACCAAGACCTCCGATCCTTTGAATAGGGCTCTTGGCCCAACTTGGAATACACAGCCCAAGTAATACCTAGACCCTCATTTTAGCTAAATATTTTTCTTAATGTAAAATACACAACTTTATCTTCAAAGATTTGTCTAATTAGTAAATAGAGTGAAATTAACCAAAATAGAAGTTGATAAGTAATACCCTAATAATAGTTATGTATTTCCTACCAAAAAAGCAAATGAATTTTTACTTTAGAATACAAAGAAAATTTACTTAGGAGGATAGTGTTTTTTTATAAATGATACTCTCCTTTTCAATTTTTTTCATATATTTTTGTAAAAGTCAAAATGAAAATTAGGAAACGAAAGAAATATTTAGTTTTTTTTCTAAATGCAACAATTAATGAAAAAAATTGGAAGCCCTTTTCTTATTTCTTTTCAAGTTTTTCATTAATTTTTGTAAAAGTCAAAATGAAAATTAGGAAAGGAAAGAAATATTTAGTTTTTTTTCTAAATGCAACAATTAATGAAAAAAATAGGAGGCCATTTTCTTATTTTGGATTTTTTTGTTGGGAGTATACCGGTATAACACCAAAGAAACATATTAAAAAAATGATGGTCCAATTGGGAAGCCCACGAGGGATATTAGGGCTAGAAGACAATGGACTGTTATCCTTCCACTGTTAAGAGTAGGAAGTAGTCGCTGCTCTGTAAAACCAGCCTCACGCATTGCCCTCCATTCTAAGTGCCAAGATCCCTAATCCTTCGAATAGAGACCTTGGCCCAACTCTTAACTTGGAACGGGCAGCCCAATAATACCTCCTTTGACCGAGCCTTGTAGACAAGCCCAACGTCCCACCACCTAAACTTGGGAGTATACCAGTATAACACCAAAGAAACATATTACTCCTTCCGTCCCCCTAAGATGTTCTCATTTTGACTTTTGATGGTTTTTAAGAAAAGTTGAAAAAAGGTGAAAGTTTACCATAATACCCTTAATGAAATATGGGTGGAGTGTATTAAATGAGGTGAGTGAGGTGTAATAAATAAAGTAAGTGGGGGTAGTTATGGTATTTTAATTGTAAAAAAATGAAATGAGAAGATCTATTGTGGACAAAGAAAAAGGGATATTGAGAAGATCTATGGGGGACGGAGGGAGTAAAAAATGATGGTCCAATTGGGAAGCCCACGAGGAATATTAGGGCTAGAAGACAATGGACTGTTATCCTTCCACTGTTAAGAGTAGGAAGCCCAATAATACCTCCTTTGACCGAGCCTCGTAGACAAGCCCAACGTCCCACCACCTTAACTTGGGAGTATACCGGTATAACACCAAAGAAACATATTAAAAAAATGATGGTCCAATTGGGAAGCCCACGAGGAATATTAGGGCTAGAAGACAATGGACTGTTATCCTTCCACTGTTAAGAGTAGGAAGCCCAA